GCAATAACTGTGTTTGTATCCCTGACTAATGTTGTTTTCATTATTTTCCCTCAGAAGGGGAAATGCAAAAGTTACTGAGAACCAAGGCCTTGGAATGAGAGACACCTGACCTGGGTTCAGACTTTTGTCTCTGATCTTGTTAGCAGTGAGGTGATTTGGCCAAGGTCAAGGACCTTAGCTCCATAAGAACCATGTTTTATCTGTACCAGGAGAATGATTATACTTTATTTATGCAATTCTTAATAGAAACAAATGATAGTATTCACAAAGCACTTAAAATAGTATGTATAAAATAAATGCTACCTATTGTTATTGTAAAATGTCTTTCCCTTCAATACAGTCATTCATGGCTGTTCTCCAGGACATAGTCTCCAACTGAGATTAGTCTCCCCTTTTATATGCCCCCAATTTTATTTTTATTTAAAATGACTACCATAACTGACAGAATAGTAGATTGCATAAATAATGCTTTGTCTCACTGTAACTTAAGCTACTTAACCTTGACGAGTACATTTACCTTCATTGTTAGAACTCCGTAACAACTGCACCAAAATTGCAGGAAGTACTTTTACCAAATAAATAATCTTATTTAATTTACTGAACTAACATTTGATGTGTAAGGATGTTTATATTTACTCAATCTTTTGACAATTGTTTCCTATCACACAGAAATAACAGGTGTAGTCCAACTTTATTACCAAAGTTCTACTTACTTAGCTGCTTTTTAAAAAAAATAAATAGATTTACTATCAGATACCTTTTGGCAGGCAGGCACCAGAACCACTGAGCTAAATCCCTGGCCCCTTTGTTGGCAGTGAGTTCATAATGGCATGTGCACTTTTGCTGTGGTCAGAAAAATCTTATTTATACCTCACCTCTAATTTGATTCAAAAACTTACTTTTTCAGGACCTTCCAAGGTTACAGATCACACAAGGTTGTTGGGCAACTTTGAATGATATAATGATATATTTATGAAAAGTACTTTTGTCTGGAAATGTCTCTGTGCAGAAACCTTTGGGAACATTAGGATGCAAACATCAACCAACCTCTTAGGAGATGAACTAAATAATGAACTGTTGGGGTAAAAGAGAGGAGATGCAGCAAATCTTTCTGAAATACATAATGATGAAATATGTGTGATTACTTCGTTTTATTTAAGTTATTTTAAATGTCAAATATGTCATTGAGTGCATTATTTCAAAAGGCTCCAGAAGCAATCTTCTTTTAAAAGTGAATAATTTTTTGTGTGTGGAGAAAAGATTAAACAATAAATCTTAATGTCTCAGATTCAAGGTTTAAAAGAAAACCCAGTAATTTTATTAACTCTATGCTTTCAAAATCAAAAGATTCAACTTGTGTAATCCCTAGTACAAAGAAACATAAACTAGCAGCTGGCAATCCTATAGTTTTATAGCCTACGGAGGTAAATGTCTACCAAAGATAGAACATATTTTGCCTTGAAGCCAAAATACAAGTGATGAAGGGTTAGAGTGTCATTACACAAAGGATGAGTTCTAGAATGTAAAAGTTTGCACTGGCTTTCTACATGAAAATCTTGCTTATATGAGTATCTCCTAGTGAGTCTCAACATGACTTCTTTTATTCATTTTTACATATTAGTCCATATGTGTAGTATTCAATGTTTACATTCCTTGTGTGGAGTTGGTGCATGTACACAACACATCTTCATTCCTTTTTAAAACTCCTTTCCCTTCCTTCCCCCTTAATCCATCTGATGGTCCTCTTTGTTTTGTGTCCATGTTTGCAGTGCATAATATGTACATCATAACACATCTCAATTCCCTTTTTATCCTTTCTCCTTCCCTGCCCTCCTTTCTCCATCACGATGTGCAGTTACCTCAGATAGGACCTCAGTAGCAGCAGCAGTTTTGGTCAAATCATGTCCAACGTCTCTTGAGCTATGAATATAAATTCTTATCAAGTAAGGCAATCTGAGTATTACTGAGATCTGGGGTGAGGCAAGTGTATGTTGGGAGAAAAAGAATAAGCATTAAGTGCTGAAAAAAAATCCACCCTGAGAGAGGTGCTGCTAAATACACAGTCAGAGCTGTGGATTAGACCAAGGTAGCAGCAGTTGGGTGGTACACACAAAAGAGGAGATCACTGAAAACCTGGAGGGCTGGCATGGAACAAAGCTTCTTCCCCTCACAGAACAAATGGTTAAGGGGAGCTGCAAACAAATATAAACTTACACATACAAGTATATCTATAATCAGTGTGAGGATATTTGGAATAAGTGCCGCAGTGCACCGTAAGACCATATGGCAGGACAATATAACCTACTCGACAGAATTATGGAAACTTTCCCTGAGGGGGAGATATCTACACAGCCTCCAATCTGTAGAAAAGACGCTGTCAAGAATGCGACAGGCACAATTCTGTAGAGACTGGCACACGAGGTCATTGCTAAGACACAGCTTTACAAAGACGATTGGAAGAAACCAAGTCTTTAAAAACTGAAGCAGAAGGACAGAGTAAGTACAGCTGCAGGAGTGAGGTGATGCTAAAACAGGAGCAAGCTTAATATGCTTTAGATTATTTTGTCCTTATTCTCCCACTTTTGTCTAAACAGCTCAGATCACAGGTAAAATGTTAGAAGGGAAGTCCATGAGTCTTGACTTTTCTGGGACCTAAGGAGACTTTTTTAGTGTTAAACATACTCTTTGGCTACAATTCATGGAAATAAAACAGAGATATTGAGGGTTTCCTGCTATTCCAATCAATTTTTTTTAATAATTAAGAAATATCGATTAGGTGGCCATTGCATGTCTGACACGGTGGGACACGACGATGAACAATACTAGTTTTTACACTGAAACGTTCACTGTCTAGTACAACAGACAATGAGTACAGGGCACACTGACACAGGATGTTTCAAGGGTGGATTGTAGAAGACCTCAGAAAAAGACAAATAATCTAGACTTAAAAAGTCAAGAAGAATTTACTTCTGAAAGAAATATTTACACTGAGACCATTAGTGAATGAAAATACATGATTATTGAGACTACACAATCACCCAGAAGAATGTAAACAGTATGGTGGAGAATTAGCAAAAGCAAAAGGAAGGAAAGTGGCTCTTAGGGAATGGCTAGAGGAAGGAAAGCTAAAAAGTTGTCCATGAAGGACTATCGCAGATTAGAGCAAAAAGTAAAAACACACACACACACACACACACAGAGAGAGAGAGAGAGAGAGAGAGAGAGAGAGAAAGAGAGAGAAAATGCAAGGCAAAAGAGCACTTGAATGAGAAAAGAACTGCTGAATGTTCCAAAGTAGAAAATTCTCATCCATAATTATGCCCACAACAAACTTCTGTTAGTTTTAGCAACAAATAGACTTGTGCCTATCTTAGCTAAAGCTGTTGGAAGGAGAACTGAAGTCAGAGTGGAACTGTAGTTTACCAAGATTATTTGGAAGGGAAGACTGTAAAGATCAGAAACAGGCAAATTCTCCTGGGTTCCTGTGGATTGCAGAATATTTGGGGATGGGCCCCTTCAATTTTGGTCTCCCTTGGTCATGTTGATGTGGGTGTTCTCCAGATTACCTTCCTCTTTAGAATGCTGTTGCCAAGCTCACGTGCTGCTGGCTCCAAGGCAGAGATGTTAGTTTTGATCTTCTGGCACGCTTAAAGGAATCAGTAGATACTCTGGAAATTTTGGCATTCCCTCCCAACACGTGATAGAATCCATACAGCCCTATGATCTTTGTAGTTTTAGAAGGGAGGTTTTTCCAATCTTTTCCATTTAGTAACTTTTTCTTTCTCCATTCTTTTCCTTCTGAGACAATTTCATAAAATTCCATAACTCTTAAAAACAAAACATAGGACAAGACTTACCTTTTTGAGACTATGAATTTCTTCTTCAGACCTAATTATGCTGCGGCCTCTGAACCATATCACAATCAGAAGGGAAAAATACTTATAGAAACCCAAGCTAAATTTGAGTTAATGTCTCCTAACTAATTCTTCCACACAGGTTGTCCTTTGGCAACCTTCATGACTTCTCTGTAGTTTACTCTGTTGACTTTTTTTTCCTGTGTGATTTAGGGGATGATTATTGTTTTTATTAAATTACATTCAAAGTATTAAAGACCATGTGATGACTTTAATCTTAACATTTTCTAAATTCAAGCCCAATAATGTTTACATTTCTTTAGTAATGTATATTTTATTGTGTAAAATATCCCTGGATTTTTCTTCACTCAAAAAAAAAATAAAATAAAAAACTATATATATAGTTCCCATACGTAAAAAGCAGTAACATGTTTAAAAGATTGATATTTGGGTTCAGCACAGTTTTATCTCCACCTAAATTAACTAACTATATGAACATTTGCATAAAAGGAACACGATACTTGATATTTTTAACTATAACCAAAGAAGCAGCTGCCACCACCTTAGAAAATTCATTTAAATGCAGTCTGAGGGAGTTAGATACACTTATTGTTATAAGGAAGATTTTCTTAATGTATAGAGGTTTTTAAAGATCAAACTGTCTCATAACCTTTCTATCCCTTATTTGTTTATACTGCACTTCTCACCCATAGGTAAGCCTGCAAAAGTAGGTATTTCCAACATGAATAATTTGACTTTTTCTGTTTGGTTTTCTGAACATAACAAGAAGTCATCATATAAGTCCACTAGGATTTCTATTCACCTGTAATATCCTTTTCAATTTCTTCCAGTTTATAATAAGATAATAATGTAAATCCACTCTGAATATATTTGATACAAAAAAGCTTGGAAAAACATACCTCAGAATTAAGAAAAAAATTAATAATTTCTAACAATTAGAAGGTGATCACCTATTACAGACTGCTTAGTTTGTCTTGCATGATTACTTAATTCTTCAGTTTAAATATTTCTCAGTACTAGACATGCAAGAAGTGTGATTGGCTGACTCACGGGCCTTTGGAATCCACAGCACTGATTTATACAGCTGATTTCTGTGAAGGAGGGTTTTCTTTCCAAACTACCTGCTGAAGCAGTCCAATGCCTTTCTGAAAGGTGAAATCACAACTATACAAAGTCGTCACTTGATTTACCAGGACATCGGAGTGTCTGTAAGCCCACCTTTTCCTCTCTTCATGCCTCATTGTGTCTCTGAGTTTTTGCCATGGGTGTCTTTAGTGTCAGAAATGTTACTGTTTCTCCTCCATATGCATGACAGTTTGGTTCCAGGCCCTTTTCCAGCAGAGCAGACATTCAAGCCCTTTAAATGAAGTGACATATTATTGTGTATAAAACCTACCACTCTGCCACCACACACTTTAAAACTTCTCTAGGTTGCTCAGTATCTACCGCAATGCAAGTACTGTGAACATAGTTGTAGCACTGTAACATTTAGAAAATGATGAGAAGATTACAAAGTCTATATGTATTTAGTACAGACACAAGTAAAAACATATTTTCAATATCTACAGTTGATTGACCCCATGGATGTGCTACTAGGTGACACAAAATAAGAAGATAAAAATAAAAATAAAATTTTAGAAGTTGGTAGAAAAAGCATCCAAGAATCCTTAAAACAAAGTTAAGTTCTGGGTTATAAGCAAAGTGCATTTCTCTTGAAGCCACTGGATTTTAGCATATCTATAATGACTTTCTCTTACCCCAATGCAGCAAATCTAAGTTAGTTTTGCTTTTCCTATTGTATTTGCTTTTGTAGGTAAACACCTGGCAATTTTGACTTTTGTCAAAAACACTAAGCTAAGTTATATTTAACAAGAAATAAAATATCTTCTTATTCATCCATTTCTTGGGACATTACTCTCATATTACCCAAAGCAGATTTTAGTCTTCCAGTCCTATGAGAACAAGACTTCATAATTCAAGATATATATGCTTGGTTTAGTATGAGCAAAACAAACACATTTCTCCCAAGATCCCTACAGTGATTTTACAATGAAAACTTAAACACAAGAAAATTAGAAATCAACTCAATGACTGCTTTAATGTCTTATGTCTTTCTTTACCTATGTTTTATAGTGATTCCAATTACATATTGGTGTAAACACACCACAGCCCTCTAATAAACTTTCTTATTTTGATGCAAGTTTAAATTATTTTCTCTTTTCAAATTGATATAATGTAGCAGAGCTTTGCTTTTGTGTTTGTGTCCTGAGACTTTCAGAGCGACAGAGTTGTGAAGAATCTGACAAACACACTAAGTATGGCACTTCAGAATGTGCAGTTATAAGGCTTGGTCTTTTTTTAGAAACCCACAATATCTAAGATCTTTTTCACTCTCGCTGCCTTTGGCCAAGAGAGCAGATGGATAATTACACTCCACAAAAGATAAATTAAAGTAAGAATTTGGAGCAACTGGGAGAATGAAATATACCACTTGCTAATGGAGGGTTGTGGAAAAATGGCCAAATAAGAGACGTGGATGACCTTATTTTCCTGCTGGTGACAGTGCTTTCCAGATTAAAAGCTGTTTTCTTTTATTGAAATAGAATAGTGCCAAACACTGAACCTGCTTTGTAAGACATACATCAAGAGAGAAAATATTTCACCAGGATGACATGACCTGACATTTTAAAGCAGATAACAAATGACATCTTGTCAATGGCGCCAATTTATTATTCCCTCTCTTGTACCTCGGTGCCACAGCAGGATACACATTCCTTTTTAATCATGACACTGTGTTAAACAAATTTTTACCAGCAGTGACTATAAAATGTCCCTCACATTCCAAGTATCCTGACCTCTCTGCTGTCCCCACCGCAGCACACGAAGGCAGAGGCTATGCTAAATTTTTCATTATTTTATTCAATTTCAGATTCAATTACGCGAGGCTCTTCCATCACTTATGCGGAGTGTGTGCTACGACAGGAAGCCCCACACATTAATCAGACTCTTTTTGTCCTGCAGACACCGGTGCTAAACCATAGGACTCCCCAAAAAGGAATCTGAAATAGATGCAAATGTCAGAGGAGGAATTCGGCCTCCCCTGCAGCTGCGGAGGAGAGTGAGTCCTGGGGGCGGCCTGGCCATCAAGGCCCAGACTCAAGTGTGTGTTGGGTTTCCTGTTTTCTCCATCATCCCCAGCAGAGGACCCTTCTCTCCCTTGCTTTATATCCCTCTGCCGGTTTATACTATAGTCTCCCACGCTGAACACTGTTCTGGGCAATAGCTTCCGAGTTGAGCTGTTGTTAAGTGTACGGCCTGTGTGCTAAAAAATGGCCAGCTCCACACTCACCCAGCCTTTCCAGCATCAGACTTTGTTCTATTTCCTGCAGTCTCTGACCAGCACACAGGAGCAAGACCCTGGATGCTGAGCATTTAACAGATGGCCTTAAAAATGTGCATCCTAGAGAAGCAGAAAAGTTTACAGCTCGAAGTTATCTTTGAGTTATTTTGGAATTGATAACGTTTCTTTAACAGTATCTCAAATTAGTTTCAGACCTCGTCATGTGGATGCATTGCTTATGGTTTGAAAAGAAAGATATGAAAAGTACATTTAAAGTTATATAAATGTCATACTAAAAACTAATGGAGGAGACTAGGAATACTTTCTCTTGTACAAGGCTATGGTTTATAAGGTATATAAGGCTTATGGTTTGAGATATAAGTGTAAGTAGTACTATGACAGCTCTCTAATTATGTGTTACTATGTAACACACCATTTAACTATGTGCTATGTAACCTTTTGTAATTTTGTTTTTTTAGAAATTATACTTACCCCCAAGAGCTTGAGATGGTTAAATGAGCTAATATACATCCATACAACTGACAGTGCTAAGAGTGCTCGGTTTCGTCCTCATGAATTCCTAAGACATAGCTAGGATGAAATAAAATACAACAAAATGTAGTTGTTAATTTGACTTCAGAGAAATGACAAGAAACAATCTCACTTGCTCTAAATTTGAATTTAAAAGAAGTTTAGTTGCAGAAGGTAGCTTAAAGTTTTCCACAAAAAAGTTTCATAGGAAAGTTTTGGTAAGGTTAAAAAAAAAGTTAAAACTAGTGTTCTCAAAATTCTAACTAAAAATAATAATTGTGTAAGAATAATTCTACAGTATTAATGAATAGGACATTCAGTTTACATAGAAATATTAAAAATATTTAGAATCCTATGTATTTTTATTTTTTAATTTTTCATTAAGTTTATTGGTACTTTTTAGGTATGCAATACAGTAATATTCAGTAATATACAGTATATAATATACAGTAATGTGATCATACATTGGGATCTGGTACCTTTATATGATGTACCTTGGTTCTTATTTTTCCCCTTATCCCTGTCCTGCTTATTTTTAAAAGTATTAGATTAATTTTTTAAACTTTGACTCTAACAACATAAAAAAAATGCATGCATCTTACACTGATTTAGGCTTCAGAAGCTGTGATGGTTTTATTCATTCCAGATTTATACAATTATTTGAAAACATTCTAATTTGGATTTTAAATTAAAATATTTTATTGTGCTCTGAGCAGATTTTGATAGGGCAAACTGAATAGCAAAAACCTAGGAAAGGTCACAATGCAAGATAACTTTGCCCTTTGTTCTGTTTAGTTCATAATTAACAGGCACCCACCCAGAGGCATCTAGTCTCTTTAAATTTTGTAAATGAAAGTGAAACTTTGTTAGCTTTGTTGACCAAACAGCTCCCTTCCCCTTGGCTAGAACAGACAAATCCTGAAGGTAACTTCCCCTAATAAAGAATGGCATTGAAATTCAGCTGCCTGGCCACCATATTTTGGGTATCAGCAATGTGAACTGTGCAATTGCAACGTAACCAACTGAATAAGATCAAGGTTTTATAGGTAAAAGGGGGAGTTGTAACCCAATGGGGGAGTCAGTCAGGGTACTGCCATTAGGTGTGATCGATCCGTAAACTTTTTTATTTTACTTCCATTCTGCTGTCTGTCTGTGTGTCACTTAGCAATTCCTTCCGTAACAATTTGGGAAGAAGAAATATATGGAAAGCAAATGTTTTCAGTAATTCACAGGAAATAGTTATTTTCTAAGTACATTTGACATATCCATTATGAATGGATTTTGTATCCATTGTACAAAAGAAATGAAGAAGTTAGTTTTTGTATTATTCATTTTTTTTGGTAAATGTAACAGGTACATTTATGGTCATGTTTTTAGTTTTCAGAACAATAGGGAAAAATCCTGGAATCACCTAAAAGGGTGGCTGTAGACTAAAATAGTTTTGTATGTAAAGTGGCATGATTCAGTCATGTGATTATACATTAATTAAATATTTCAAAGCATTCATTTCAACTAGTATTTTATGCAGAATATTAATGTATTGGAGATTTTAAGTGTGAGGAACACAAGACATTCCTAACACTCTGGATTCAACTGATGCCTTTGTGAGAAATGTTTGCACGCATACACAGGTTTTTGGAACATTTCAGTGTGCTTTTCTTGTTTTAATGAACTGTTCTTTGAGGATGGTGAGGATCAGTGGGACTGTAAACATGTGCTTAGGAGAAAGCACAGAGACAAAGCCTAAGGACTGGAGCCACTGTCGAATTTCAGTTGAACCACAGCTCACCCATTGCATCCTTTCACTTTTCCCAGAATGTAGAAAAGAAGGAAAAAATATTCCTATTTTTCTTATAAGTCCTTGACATCCTTTATCTATTTCAGGAGAATGATTCTTTCTTCTAGTTATCTTACAATTTATATTCATACTTTTCATTTATATTTTTATTTTCCCAATGTAATTGTGCCTTTTATTTCTTTCTTTCCCTTTTCATTTCCTCAGAAGCAAGGAGAGTTCAGTTTCACAAAACTCAACCCGGAGATTAGTGTAACAATGTTCTCACTTGTTTCTTTCTTTCTTTCTTTCTTTCTTTCTTTCTTTCTTTCTTTCTTTCTTTCTTTCTTTCTTTCTCTTTCTCTCTTGTATCAGGGATTCAACTCAGGACCTTGTACTTGTGAAGCAGGTACAGTGCCACTGAGCTAAATCCCCAGCCCTAGCAGTTGCTCTTTTTATTTGCTTTTTATTCCTGCTGGATATCACCTAATCTGCTATTTTAGTTTAATCTTTTGTTTAGTTTTCAACAGATATATGTTATATATCAACTTCTGGTATATATG